ACTGAAAAAAACATCAAATTGTGTGTATAGAAAGGGACCGTCCCTTTGCGCTCAAATTCTGAACGAAAAATCGGCTTTTTCTCCGGCCACAGATGTCTTTAAAAAGTAAGACTATTACCGATGAATAGCTGATAGGCTGTTTAGTTTACCCTGAAATTACCCAAATAAGTGAACGGTCCCTCAAATTGGCAAATTTATTACCTATCTCGTAGAGTGCAGAAGTCAAGATGCTTTTAACAAATGAAAAAGGAAAAAGATGACCTTTAACAACATTTAAAAAATACAGTAATCCAGTTTCATTGTAAGAGCAATAGCATTATACAAAATTAAACCACGAAAGAATACTGTGATATAATGATCTGTCATTTTGTAAATTACAGACACTAATATATATCATATATATATATAATAATATATATTATATTTATGCAGAGAGTCAAAATTAGAGATGGGCATCGGTAATTCAACGAACAAAAATGTTGAGAAAGAACAAAATATTTTGGGAATTATGAGGTTGCAAAGTCAAATCAGTAACAATACATCAAATATTATAATATATTTACCCCTGAAGTTTGGATTTGATTGATGAACTCAATATAAAGCTTGGGTTTCCAAATTCCAACGCAGGAATTTTTACTTGAACACATTTGCGAACCTTTTATTTCCGCGCAAATATACTCAACTTTGCGGAATTCCGATTGGAAACTTTAATTACAGCCGATATGGTGATTGGTCATCAGATTTTTGTGTCGTATCATTTTAACCCTATCCCAGCTTGACTATTTTTGTCTAAAAATGCATCCCCCCTATGCAATTGCCCTTTGTTTTGAGATAGGGTATTGGGATACATATCCTTAGTCCAACATGTTAAGGCCTGCTCATTAAAAAAGTAGATTTTTAACTTTATTGGTTAAGGTGCAAGGGAATATTTTAAAAAAAGGTTCAAAAAGTGCGTCGGAAAAATATTTGAAAAATAATTTTGACAAACATTAACATGTGACAATTGTTATTTTATCCACTTTTTAAGGGATTTTAAAATTTATAAATTTTAACTTTTTAGCTTAATTCAAAAAAAGTTTTCAAGCATTTCTGATTTTTTTAAACACCTACCCGCCGTATGACTTTCCTCCATGCACCCTACCCTATGCATAAAAAAAAAATTTGGCAAGATTTGTTCACAACTCTGACGTTGAAAAAGATGATAAGGTTAAACGTTCTAATGTTCTAATGTTCTGAGGTTGAACGTTTTTCAAGTTTTTTAGAAAAAAAGTCACAGATAGAGATAATAAGCCAAATAGACACATACGCAAAAATGTTTTAAATATTGCCTTTTCCTCTTCTTTATGTAGTTCACATAAAATAGTTTATATTTCTGATGTTTATTTAAATAAAAATATATTTTAGCATTAAAATCACATTTAAAATTTTATTACAGAAATAAAAATATTGTAACTATTTGTTTATTGGAAGCCATTTCAGAAATACTTTTTGTTTATATTTAGATTGCAATGTGAAGCTGCGGGTACATTTGTATAAATGTGTATGTACAGTAGGACCCATCAATCTATGGAATACGAAGACGACTCCTAGGCCCAAGTCTAAGTAATCCAATGAACACACAGGAATTGTGCAGTGTAAACAGAACCCATTTTACTGTCATATTTTTCAGCTAATGGTAAAAATATACATTAGGTTCTTAAAAGTCATCTTCCTATTACACAGTTATTTTTGAGTCCAACATATGCTGATCAGGACACTTTTCTCTTTTTAAAGATAAGTTGTTGATAAAATTCAATAAAATTTTGAACTTTTAGTTAACAGAATCTTGTCCAACATACAAACAATCTTACATCTCAAATATATAATATCATTTTACATACTCGAACAATAAAACAAAACAAAAACTCCATTTTTATAAAATAAAATAATTCTTTAATTCAATAAAACATTTTTGTGAAAATTAATTTTGTAATGTTTGTAATGTTGTTACATGTAGCAGCTATTCTGACTAAACAAAACTGAGTAAAAGTTGAATAAAAAAATAAGCTTTAAAATATATAAGAGCACGGCTTAACTAAAACATGGAAAGCTGTGACGTTTTTTGTGCTAAATGGTTTAATCAAACTTGGGCCAGATTTAATAATTAGCGCAACTTTGTTGAACCAGGAAATGGTGGCTAAACCACCTCTCTTTAACTTAAAGAGCACAAGAAAACTGGTTGAACCTGCGGTACGGGATTCAAATTATTCTCACTATTCATTAAATCTGGTCTCCACGATGTGCTTACATCTTGGAATTGTGTTTGTTTACATTTTGGAGTTCTGTTTACATTTTGGAGTTGTGTTTACATCTTGGACTCCTTTTCGTACTCCTGAGGGGTTAGGGTTGGGTATCCTCCGTAATGGTTCTGCTCTGGGTGCAAAATAGGTCGAAGCTCATCAAACAACTCCTGAAATCAAAGTTTAGTTGAATTTAGGAAAAATAAGTCTCAAGACAAAAAATAAGTCTCAAGACTAAAAATAAGTCTCAAGACTAAAAATAAGTCTCAAGACTAAAAGTCTCAAGACTAAAAATAAGTCTCAAGACTAAAAGTAAGTCTCAAGAAAAATAAGTCTCAAGACTAAAAATAAGTCTCAAGACTAAAAATAAGTCTCAAGACTGAAAAAAAGTCTCAAGACTAAAACTAAGTCTCAAGACTAAAAGTAAGTCTCAAGACTAAAATAAGTCTCAAGACTAAAAATAAGCCTCAAGAATAAAAATAAGTCTCAAGACTAAAATAAGTCTCAAGACTAAAAAAAGCCTCAAGACTAAAATAAGTCTCAAGACTAAAATTAAGTCTCAAGACAGAAAACAAGTCTTAAGACTAAAATTAAGTTTCAAGACAGAAAATAAGTCTCAAGACTAAAATAAGTCTCAAGACAAAAAAATAAGTCACAATTTATTTCAATGAATGTGACAATCCATAAAAGGACTGCCCGCTTATTTGATTCACAACAGAGCCTCAGGATATTGGAATGTTTTTTGAAAATGTAAAAGTTCTGTCAACTTGTTTGCTTATCTCTACAAAAATAAATCCGAAAAAAAGAACTACCAAATCTCCATCACTTTTGCTCGGTCAAAGATTTAAATGGTACCAATAAATTTATCCAATAAATCAAACGAGAATATGGAGAACGAAGAATAAAATGGAGATTTCCAAAACAATAGTTACAATTTAAAACTGTTCTGAAAAACGGGGGCGCGAAGCGGCCTGATGACCTTGTATTTTATAAATCATTAATATTATTCTTCTTAAATCTTCTTACCCGCATTGCAATTGGGGAGAGGTTTCGTGACAAGAGGAAAAGAATCCAATAATCTCCAACCTATATATAATAATATTTGTATGAAATTAGAATAGGTCGAATTGGGGAGAGGTTTCGTGACAAGAGGAAAAGAATCCAATACTCTCCAACCTATATATAATAATATTTGTATGAAATTAGAATAGGTCGAATTGGGGAGAGGTTTCGTGACAAGAGGAAAAGAAGCCAATACTCTCCAACCTATATATAATAATATTTGTATGAAATTAGAGTAAGTTGAAGGTGATTGTCACATATGTTATGATTAATAGTGATATCATGACTCATCACAATCTTAAATGTACTAGATTTTTTAATCTTTAACCTTTTTCAAACTAGTCTTCTAGAGTAAATATCTAAATTTGATATGCTAAAGGTTTGAGCTTGAGTGTCCAATATTTGTATAACGGCTCAGATAAGTACACTTTTTAAAAACAATTTTTTATTTCAAATGAGCGTAAAAATATTTCTTGGAAAATTTGAAGGAAAAAACTTATTTTTTTTGAGATCGGAACTGTTAAGTATAGTTGATATCAAACGATTAGTCTCAAAATTGCTTTTAAAGGAAATGATTTTTTACAAAAAAAAAAATTTATTCCTATATCTTTGCAACCTGATGATGTAAACCTATAATATTTCAAACTTATTAGATCTAACAAAATTAATAGTTTGAAATAACAAATGTCTCCGATACACGGATTAAAAAAAATTAAGTTTGTGGCAAGGACTCAAGGCTCTGCAGAACATGGAGATCAATGCTTGATCCTCAGATTAATAATACAAAAGTTCTGAGGCCGAATACAAAAAATTTTAAGGAATAATTTGAGCCGCTTCTCAAATTTTGAGACGCGACTCGAACATGGTCGGTTCCACTTTAAATTGTAAGTTGAAGGTGATTGTCACATATGTTATGATCAAAAGTGACATCATAACTCACAAGCTTAAATGTTCTAAATTTTCTGTATTTTTTAACCTTTTTCAAACTGGTCTGCTAGAGTAAAATCAAAGTTTTAGATGCTTAAGGTTTGAGCTTGAGTGTCCAATATTTGCCTAACGGCTCAGACTTTTGAAAAGCAATTTTTGATTTAAAATGAGCGCAATTAAAGGAAATTAGTTTTTGCAACCTGATGATGTAAACCTATGATATTCTAAAGTAATATTATTAGATCTAGCTTGAAATAACAAATGTCTACGACTTCGGGTTGCAAAGATACACGGATACAGTTGTAGCAAGAACTCATTTCCTTTAAGAATAAAGACTGGATTCCTAATTCATAGTTATCCATGTAGCGACATCAAAGAGAATTTAAATTAAACCGAAGGTCTGCAAAACATGGAGATCAATGCTTGATCCTTAGATTAATAATACAAAAGTTCTGAGGCCGAATAGGAATAATTTAAGCCGCGTCTCAAATTTTTAGAAATAATTTGAGCCGCTTCTCAAATTTTGAGACGCGACTCAAACATGGTCGGTTCCACTTTAAATTGTATTTAGTGTTTCGAGATTTGAGCCGGCGCGGTGATTAATTGAAAACGATTTTTGGCGGTTCAGCGACGCGAATTAAATTCATTAAATTCGGCCTCTAACTTCCGATAATATTTTACCCTATCTAGAAAGCTGTGGTTAGGACAGGACAACACCTTCTCCACAGTTTTACGGTCAACCTACAGAACAAATATATGTTAGTTCATACTTTCAAGGTACTCTTGTGAATCAGACATGTCAAAGTCACTGGAAATTACGTGTACAGTCCCTTTAAGAGCAAACAAGGTTGTGCAGAACTGATTTAACTTTTCTCGGATAAAGAATATATTTAAAAGTTTTCACCATATCGCTGAAACATTGGCACACAACAGCTTGAAGAAAAATTGAAACTTTAAAATATTTGTTTTCAACTTGAGTTTGAATATATATTCTGGTTGAGACATTTAAACATTGTTCAAGGAATTCTTCACAGTAAAAAGTTATTTCGAACAGGAAATAGTTTACTTTAGCTCTTTTTCCAAAATTTAGAAATTTACAAATGTGTTCCATTAAAACTAGCAAACAAATAGAGAGATCAACTTTTTGTTATCTTTACAAACTTCTTTAAGGAACCATAAATCCGATAAATATTTGAAGAGACAAATAAATGAAAAATATCAGAACTTTAAAAATGTGTTACTTTTTTTTGTAAAATTCCTCAAAAAATGTTTATCTTTTTTAAAACAATGATGCTTTTTGTACAAATATGAGGAGAAAATATAAAAATGAAAAATTCTAAAAAAAAAAAAAAACACATCCCGATTCTGACAAAGCTAAATAAACCAAAACCGGTCCAAATTATATTGTCTTGATAATTTTTCTTTTAATTTCAATCTTTGAATCTTGTGATTACGTTATGCACAATTTTTATTTTAATTCCTGAAACATTAGATTTAAAATTAAAGTTTTATGCAAGGAAAATGTTTTGATATTAAAAACCTTAAATTTAATTTCTCAACCTGGTATAATGTTGAGGTCATGAGGACTTGTGTTCTCAGTGCAGGAACAGCAATAATCAGCACTCTACCAAAATTTATTATTTTGTGAAAAAATTAAATATCAAAAACAAAAAAGACAAGAACTAAAGAACAAGCGCATGAACATCAACAGAGAAAAACGAACAATAGCAGAAAAAAAGAACAAGAGCAGAAAAAAAGAACAAGAGCAGAAAAAAAGAACAAGAGCAGAATAAAAAGAACAAGAGCAGAAGAAAAAGTACAAGAGCAAAAGAAAAAGAACAAGAGCAGAAAAAAAGAACAAGAGCAGAAAAAAAGAAAAGAGCAGAATAAAAAGAACAAGAGCAGAAACAAAAGTACAAGAGCAGAAAAAAAGAACAAGAGCAGAAAAAAAACAAGAGCAGAATAAAAAGAACAAGAGCAGAAGAAAAATTACAATAGCAGAAAAAAAAGAACAAGATCAGAAAATAAGAACAAGAGCAGAATAAAAAGAACAAGAGCAGAAGAAAAAGTACAAGAGCAGAAGAAAAAGAACAAGAGCAGAAAAAAACAAGAGCAGAATAAAAAGAACAAGAGCAGAAGAAAAAGTACAATAGCAGAAAAAAAAGAACAAGAACAGAATAAAAAGAACAAGAGCAGAAGAAAAAGTACAATAGCAGAAGAAAAAGTACAAGAGCAGAATAAAAAGAACAAGAGCAGAAGAAAAAGAACAAGAGCAGAAGAAAAAGTACAAGAGCAGAAGAAAAAGTACAAGAGCAGAAGAAAAAGAACAAGAGCAGAAGAAAAAGATCAAGAGCAGAAGAAAAAGAACAAGAGCAGAAGAAAAAGCACAAGAGAAGAAGAAAAAGTACAAGAGCAGAAGAAAAAGAACAAGAGCAAAAGAAAAACAACAGAAAAAGAAAAGAAGTAAAAAACGAAAATAAGTACAAGAACAAAAACAAATTAAAAACACAAGAACACTTCTTGAAAATTAGAACAAGAACAAAAACAAGGAGAAGAATAAAAAATCATTGCAAAAATACTTCTTAAAAGGAAGAAGAAAATAACAGAACAAGAACAAAAACAAAATCAATTCAAGAACAAGAACACTTGGAAATAAAAAGAAGAAAAACAAGAAGAAAAAAGGGGTTAAAGATGAATAACCTGTAGATCAAAGCACAAATAGTGAAGATAGCGACCCCGACAAACATAAACCACAAGAAAACATAAATCTAAATAACGTAAATTTAAAAACTGGTTTCTTTAAAAATTATTTCTCAGCTAAATTTTAAAATGAAACAAAATTATGCTCAAGAAAAAATAATTTAGAAAAAATAAAAAAAATCTCTTTTTCTTATATTTTATATAATTGACGTGTTTTATTTTGTATTATTGACATTTTTAATATGTATTTTATAATAAAAACAGAAAAGGCTGTTTTTAAAAATATGAAAATTATCTCGTGCCTTCGTAATCAATTAGAGTTTTTAGAGTACCATTGTGAACCATACATCTCTCTCTATTTAACGGAAAAGTTGAAAGTATGTCTACAGTTTTATTATTTTTTTTTATTGAAAACCTTTTTCTGCTTAAATGGAAATAAATATTTTCAGAAATCACCCCCGAGTACTGCAATGTACAGATTGACCTTGGAAAGTGGAGTACATGGCCTGTACAATTAGTAAAGGATTAGCGTACTTCATCACTCTATATACCATAACCTCGTTGATGAACTCTCATAAAATAATATTGTACTGTAGTTTGTAATGTAAAAACACGAAGTGATGTCCACAGACTAAGATTTGTTTACATACCTCCCATAATACTGCAGTACATATTATTTTATATAAGTTCCATGGGATGTACATTATTATAATGATTGTTTGAATCTTGCCAACAAAATTGACCCCTTCTAATACTTTTAATAAAAAAATTATGTGAAAGTAATAAATCATAAGTTTTCCCAACTAGTCACCAACCTGATCTAATCTAAAAACTATTTTACGAGACCGGGGCATTGGAGGAATTCTAAGTTGATTCATTGATAACTTAATCACTATAGGGCTTCAGAGGATTAAAATCTTTCTAGTTTAGAGAATTTTTAGCTCGGTGCTTAACGGATTTAAATATTTCTAACTTTGGGGGCCTTGAAGGATAATACATTTTTCCCGCTCAGGGCCTTGGAGGATTCTTTATAACTCACAAGACATTATGTTCTGAATGGAGAAATTAAAATGGGGGCATCGTATTTTCTTATTTTTTTTCGGGATTAAAGTTGATAAATCCATGAAGATAAATTTCACAATGGAAAAATAAATTTGAGCTTTTAAATGTTTTATAAAAACTTTCCTTTCAAATTTGCATAAAAAGGTTTCAACTTAAAAAGGGTTTAAAAGTAATTTTTTCAAATAATGAGATAATAGTTTTGCTATCACAATCTTGATAGTTTTCTAAAATATATCCTGATTTGGGAATAAAATAGCAAAGAAAGCTTTAAATTTATTTGTTAGTTTTATTTCATTATTTTCCGATCTTTCTAAATTTATCCTTTTATCTTTTCAACCTGATATCAAAGAATTATGGTATTCACGGTCGGGTTGCAAAAATAAAGTGATAACCAGGAAACCATTGGAAGACGACATTATAATAATAATGAAGTGCATTTTATGTTGTTCAAAGCAAATAATTTTATCAGACGCTTATTAAGTTATGAGTTTAGTAAAAATGGGGCTGTTTGCACTGCACGCTTGCTGTGTCTCATGTTCATTGGAATTTTTTAAGTTAAAGCTTGATGCTAAAAGTCGTCTTCCTCAGAGTTTTCTGGTTAGCCCTGGATTAGAAAATTAAAGTTTTGAACGAGCGTTCAGTTTCTTGGAAGATGTTTGTTTAAAACGATCTAATTGTCTCTAAAAGGATTAAAATGAGTGGAATTTTCGAAAAAAAGGTAAAATATGCCAAAAAAATGAAATTTCCCCCCAAAAAAATTTTCGCGTTTTCTGGTCATTTCGCGAAACAAATTAACGCTGTATAACCCTATTCCGAACTAACCTTCTCATTGATAACATTAAGCGCCAGAATGCACAATCCATCCCTGCTTTCAATAGTACCAGAGCTTCCATACTTGAAGAAAGTACATTTCGTCACCTGCAAACAAGAACAATAATATTAGTGTATGGCCCAGGGTTACTCCCGCCGTTTATCCGCGCTTGGATGTAAGTTACGATTTTAGCCATTTTTCTATATACAAGTGGACCCACTCAGCTTAGAATCTCAAAACCAAGCTAAGAACATTCCCGTTTATAGACTCCCGAGTTCCCCAACTTAAATTTGAGGCAAATCGGTCAAGGGGTTCCTGAGTTCGGACATCCAAACTAGGTAGAGATTAAAACTTTATTTATTAGGATACTTTGCTTCTCTCACACCGGACTAATCAGGGCATTCGGTTTCTTCTATTTGAATTCACGTATTGCTCTATAATTCAACAATTTTACAACAACAAAGTTGTCTTTAAATACTTTTTTTGCATCATGCCGATATAAAAGTATAAAAGAAAAAAATTACGTTTAATTGGTCAAATTGTGTTTGAAAGTTCTAATTCTCTGGAATTACGGCCGAGAGCCCTCAAATCTGCGTGCTCTGTTTGATTGGGTGTCGTGTGTGTTTGTTTGTATCCAATTTGAACGTAAAAACGGCAGAACCGATCGAAACCAAATTTTGTTTGCCAACTCTGACCCCAGGAAAGGTTTATAGGTTGAAAAAAAAAATGCACCAATATAAACCAAAAAATCTGTTTACGAATACGTTGAAAAATATCAACTTGAAGAGCAATAGAATTTACATAATTCATAAATAAATTAGACAAATCTAAAAAGTGTTTTTGAACAGAAAAAAAACGAAAATTCAAAATTAAATCAAAAAAATATTTTACTCTTCAAAAAGAAATTTCTAGAATTTAACGAAAATTAAATATTCTAAAATCTAAATAAATCTGAATAAATAAATTTCTGCAGAATTGCTACTGCCTTTTAAACTGCTGTATCAGATACGGAGCAAATCAGATACAGGGTTATGCACAAAACATAAATCAAATACAGGGTTATACACAAAACATAAATCAGATACAGGGTTATGTACAAAACTTAAATCAAATACAGCGTTATGCACAAAACATAAATCAAATTCAGGGTTATACACAAAACATAAAACTTTAGATTTAAAAATCATTTTATTTCTTAAATTAGTTCCATGCAGCTTCTTCATTAATCTTCAAAGTATTTTTAAGCGCAAAACATTTCTAAATTATGAACCACCATTTTTATGAATCATTTACTATTTGAATTAACGTAAAGTTTAGTTTTTAAAACCCTTTAAACTAAAACTTCAAAATCATTTACAACTAGACAAAAGGCAAATATTTATCTCCAGAAAGTGTGTTTTGTCCAAATGTAGCACTGCATAATAACACTTTTTAAAAACTTAAAGAAATTAGTCACCATATTTTCCTTTGCCCGAAAGTACAGTGATAACCAGAAAACTATGGAATAGGAAGACGACATTATAGCAATACTGCAGTGTATTTGATGGTGTTACTGAGCAAATAGTTTTACCGAACACTTATAAAATCAATTATTTTGTGAAATGGGTCTGTTTACACTGCACAATTGCTGTGGTTCATGGTCATTGAACTTTTCAAAGTTAAAACTTGATTCTCAAAGTCGTCTTAATATTCCAGAGTTTTCTGCTTATCACTGTACATAAAAAGATCACTTAGTTTCTTTAAATTCGAAATAATAAAATCAACAATTAAATCCACCAAAACAATTTCATGAACATGAGGCAGAAACTATTAAACAGGGTGTCCCAATAAACATGGGAATTCAGTGACGAATTCGATATCGTCTTTTTAAATAATTCTTTGATTTAGTATAGTGATACCTACTGAGAAAGCTGTAATTCGTAAGATTTTTGTGTGCTATGTTTACAATTTCTTTGTTTATGTTTTGACTGCATAAGGGTTTACTTGGTAAAACAGGAAAATTGCAGTATACAAACAGAGTAAACTTGTCCGTCTTCACTGTTCATCTTGCGGAGACATTATAGGCACATCTTTACAGTCTTTTACCCTTTTCATAAAATAAACTCTATCAGACATAATAATATTATGGCATTTGAAATTAGGTATTACAGTGCTAATCCATAGCAAAGACGATATCGAATTCGTCACTGAATTCCCATGTTTTTTGGGACACCCTGTATAACAAAAGTGTCACTTACTTTTGGGAAGACGACATTCATAGGATCCGGTCTATCTTCAGGGTTCATATTGTTCAGAGTAAACACATCCCAACCATAGGTTGTGAAACTGTATCCCAGAAATCTAAACAAGGAACTCATTACTGGTCTCAAACTCTATATTTTATATTTTCGACCTAATGTCGGCATAACTCGCAAAACCATTTGATTTTCAAAATACAAAATTTGATACAGGGTTACCCACAAAGGATTAAATGTAATGACGTCCTAAAATTCTTTAGTTAGGAAAAGCTTAAATTTGTTCCAATATGATGAAAAGGTTGAATTTGTTCCAATATGATGAATAAAGTTCTAGGATGATAATTTTAATGATGTTTTAAAAGAAAAAAACGATTTTGCAGATTCATGGAATCATTAATGTAAAAAAAAGTCTCATCCATTCTGGATATCTCTGCACCTGGAGAATACTCAAAATTGGAAATATCAGGCTTTTAAAATCTCCACTTGTGTTGCAGATATTAGAAAATTAAAGTTTGAGGCGAATAATCATCCAGGCAAAATTTTGAAAATACTGTCAAGGATAACAAACTGTCTGAGAATCATGACAGTCTTAACAGTGTCCTATTTTAACAACTTTTTACGTTCTTATATTTTTTAATTCATTCATTTTTCAAAACTTTCAAATTTTTGAAGAAATGAAATCCAGAGTTAGCTTCACTTTTACTCTGTCATTTATATTTAGTTTACAAATCGAATTCGGGTTCAAATTCGACATTTTGTGTGTCTCGGGACCCCTTGTCTGTAGGGACCCCTTGTCTATAGAGACCCCTTGTCTATAGGGACCCCTTGTCTATTTCTATAGAGACCCCTTGTCTATAGGGACCCCTTGTCTAGAGACCCCTAGTCGCTTACAGTAAATTTGTTAGATTTATATCTACAATCAAANTTTTTAGAAGTAATTGGCAAAATTCTCAACGATTTTTGCTTGAGAGCGTGAGACCATTAAATCGCAGTGCCTTGTCTATAGAGACCCCTTGTCTAGAGACCCCTTGTCTATAGACTTCCTTGTTTATAGTGACCCCCTGTTTTGTGTCCCCTTCTCTAGACACTCCTAGTCTAGAGACCCTTTCTCTAGAGACCCCTTGTCTATAGGGACCCCTTGTCTATAGGGACACCTTGTCTATAGAGACCCCTTGTCTATAGGGACCCCTTGTCTATAGAGACCCCTTGTCTATAGGGTCCCCTTGTCTATAGAGACCCCTTGTCTATAGGGACCCCTTGTCTAGAGACCCCTTGTCGCTTACAGTAAATTTGTTAGATTTATATCTACAATCAAATTACTTTTCAGACTTAGTACTTAACATTTATTTGAGATAAATTTAGTTTAATATCCCATGGGTTAGCAATTACCGAAGAGTTTGATGGTGGGGGGGATTTTCAAGGGGTATAAAAATATTTACTGACCTGTCAGTGATGTAAACTTGAGCTATCACATTCACCAGGCAAAATAACTGAAATATTAAATTATTATTAATAATTAAGTATATTAGATTAAAATAAAAGAACCATCTTTATGAAGACCATCTTTATCTTAAGCGAATTATTACAAGAAAGAGTGAAAATCAATTCACCATTAAAAATTTACTGAATGGTTTTACGAGTGCTTATTTTTAAGATCAACAATTCAGCTTTTTACTTCTAAATTATATACTATACAAGTGTTGTCCCAGGAGTCCCATGGCTTCTTTAAGATGTATATTTTACATATATAAAGTGATGTCCTAGGGTATCAAATATATTTTATAAATATAGGGTTACCCACAAAGAATGCGACTTAGATGACGACCTTTAACTCTGTTAAACTAACTATTTAAAGGTTATTTCTTAAACATAGTCTTCTAACAATATATTATATGATTTGGCAAAAAATAAATCAACTGTACAGCTGAAGAGATCCATTAATGTATAAAAGAAGCCTAACTAAATTCTGTACAGTCCTCATTCTTTGTGGTTATCCATGTATATATTAGCCTTATAATATCTCAGAGGAATAGAAATATAAAGATTTCAGTTCTCAACCTAAACTCTTTCTTGTTTTTATAGAACTGAAATAGAAAAAAAGATTAAATAAAACAAAATTTTGCGGGATTAAGGGGAGTGTTCGCGAAAATATAAGGCTTACGGCAAAAAATGATCGCTTTTGATCGCTAATAATCTTACATCTAAGGAGAAAATTGTTAAAACGACTCATACTGAAGAACGTAGCGTCCATAAAATTCAGAAAATTGCAATATACGACTCGGATCGTAAAATAATCAATTTAATTTCAAACAAATCATCCATATATTACAACCTAAAATTATCTAAAAGTTGCAATCTCTCAAGCAAAAATCTTTTAGCATTTTGCCAATTACTCCCTTTTTATTTAAGCTAAAAACAAGTGCTTTATACATAGATTACAGGAAGATCTAGAACAAGTGTGGTAAAAGCAAAGGCCACTGCGTTCGTTCCAGTCTTTATATTTGATGCAATTTTTAATATCATTTAGGATTTACGAAGTGAATTCAATTGATCCTTTATTTAATGAAGGGATTACGGCAAACACTAAAAAATTCCGTCTCTTCTTTATAAATTTAAATCTCTTATTTATAAAGTTCAATCTATGAATCCAACCTTGTTAGATATAAAGTTAACAAATTAAGGTATATTATAGTAAATATATATATAATATTTTTAACTTTGTTTAGCTTAAATAATATTCATTTTAGATGTTTAAATATATCATTTACTCTGAGACAAATTAGAATCAATGGAAATAACAAATTGAAGAAAAGTTGATAAATCTAGAGAATTGAGATCTAAAAAGGAACAGTTGATATAAATGATAGAAACCATTTGTCAATCTTTCCACAATTCATCCATCCGAGCACATGCTACAAAACTGGATTTTCTATTTTTCATCCCTGTGGAACAGGACTTGTCTTCCCTAGGAAATAGGAATTTTCGTCCCTTGGGAATAGGACTTGTCGTCCTTACGGAACAGGACTGTTTGTTGCTAGGTAATAGGACTTGTCGGCCCTAGGGAATAAGACTTTTTTTCCTGCGGAATAGGACTTTTCGTCCCTGGGATAAAGGACTTTTCGTCCCAAGAGAACAGGACTTTCATCCATGGGGAATAAGACTTTTCGTCCCCACGGAATAGGACTTTTCGTTCCTACGGAATAGGACTTTTTGTCCCTACGGAATAAGACTTTTCGTCGCTAGGGAATAGGAAAAATAACTTGAAATGTCAACAATAATTTAGTTAATGAACAAGAATTATAAATTTTCAACAAAAATTTAATTAATTTTTGATAAGGATTTTATAACATTTATTGATTCGAGCTCAATGTGCAGTTGCACAGTAGCACAGAGCCCGAAATTTAAAAGAGTATCGTAGAACGAAACTCCCGAGTTTCCTTGTTGGGGTCTTAAATTTGTGTAGATTTTGATTTAAGTGATTCGAAAAAATGTAGAATTTGAAGAAACTAAATAAAATTATATTTTTTAACAAAAATGTTGATATCAACAAAACTGCCTAACCCCATATGTGAAACCCGGGTTCCAAAACTGGGTTTCATGACGATAACCTGTCTTAGGTTTTGGGCTCAGTAGTACAGTGTACAGTAGTACAGTAGTACAGTGTACAGTAGTACAGTAGTACAGTGTACAAGTAGTACAGTAGTACAGTGTACAGGTAGTAAAGTAGTACAGTGTACAGTAATACAGTGTACAGTAGTACAGTAGTACTGTAGTACAGTGTACAGTAGTACAGTGTACAGTAGTACAGTGTACAGTAGTACAGTGTACAGTAGTACAGTAGTACAGTGTACAGTAGTGTAGTACAGTAAGTAGTACAGTGTACAGTAGTGCAGTAGTACAGTGTGCAGAAGTACACTGAAAGTTTAGTTTAGGCTATTGACAGCATCCGTAAGACAAAAATAGACGGGGTGCAGGGTGTTTAATTTTAAGATAAAATGGGTATCCATGGATTTCCTTAAAAAATTTCAGCCCATTCGGTCCAGCCGTTTGGCATTACTAATTACTATTCATTTATTAAACTTTAAAATTTACTAAGTATTCGCCCTGAATTCTGGGAATCACTAATCCCTGCTCGTATTCTGCTTTGTCTGCTTTCGTCAATTTAGCAACAATGTCCATTTATTCTATTATTTTGTAATTATGTTTTATTAATATGATGTTGGAGTGAGACACCATGTACTTTGACACTTGATGAAAATAAGGATAAATTATGTATAACTTACAATATACATTGGATCTACTAGATCCCCCACCAGCATCTTTACTATTCCTCCCTCAGAGTGTTTCCAGATCATTCGGGGAATATGGAAACAGAGAGCCTAAAATAATTACTCATTAAAAGGAGTGTTCGTGAAAATTTTCTTTTTGCTTCTATAAAGAAATTGCGAGATTGAAGTTTGCAGCAGTTTCTTCGGTCCCTTCTTCTGGAGCTAACTGTTCCATCGGTTCGGAGGGATGGTAATACACACTCAGGATACTGATTGCTCCATTGGAGTGATAGTAGTACACACTAATGATACTGATTACTCCATCGGAGGGATTGTAATTAAAACTCAGGGCACTAATTACTCTACTGGAGGGATGGTAATTAACACTCAGGGCACTAATTACTCCATTGCAGGGATGGTAAATAACACTCAGGGCTCTAATTACTCCTATTGAGGGATGGTAATTAACACTCAGGACACTAATTACTCTATTTGAGGTATGGTAATTAACACTCTGGGCACTAATTACTCCATTGCAGGGATGGTAAATAACACTCAGGGCTCTAATTACTCCAATTGAGGGATGGTAATTAACACTCAGGACACTAACTACTCCATTATAGGGATGGTAATCAACACTCAGGGCACTGATTACTCCATTGGAAGGATGGTAACTGCTCTTAGAGCACTTTTTAACATTTTTTTAAAATTTATTTTTTTAATTTTTGTAAAATAAAATTGTACTAGGCATAGTCGATAATTTCCAAATTGGTCCCCAAAATATATTGAAGAATTTTGGAACTTTATAACTAGAACTCAATCTACAGAGCTACCCACAAAGTATGATACAATTAAAAGACGACTGGACGGAATTTATTCAATCTCTTCTCTTACATTTACGGTTCCCTGACTACAGCTTGTCTTTTTCTCAATTAGTTTCATAAAGTTTCAGGTCATTATTAGAGATTCATCCTTTTTGGCCCTGGGTAGCAATGTACTTTTTATTTATTCCTGATCATTTTCCTATTCCAGGTTACTATGGGGACCATTGTATTTTTATAATATATAAGATATAGATTTATAATTTTGAGACCATTGTATTGTATATTTTTTTAAATATAAAGAATTGATCAACAACTATTTAAAAATGTGTCATATTGGATTTTTTTTAACTTTCTGGTTAGTCCCGAAAAGCGTAAGTTAGAGCTTTAAACGATCTAACATGATGTTGTACACCCTGAATCTTAAAAGAGATATATTTATACCTGGAGGAATAGAACGAAGACGACCCATTGATAGTATTTGTGGTAAACCACCTCCTCTCCTTCCTGCAATTCAGATTAGATTCAAATTTAAAATTCGCTTGTTAGTCTTTCTTTAACCCTATCACAATTGGGGGGGGGGGGGGGGGGGGTTTCTACCCCCCGTGTTTTTTCAAAATAGCTAAATAGCTTAAAAACGAATTACATTAGAACGCTTGAATTTCTTCACTTTTTTAGCATCTTAGTTGTGAAAAAATTTTGCCATTTCTTTTATGTGGTAAGGTGGAGGACTGTCAATCGGCGGGTCGGGCGAACCCCCCGGCCCCCCTCCCTCTCCATATATTAGACAAAAAATACGCAACCAGGATAGTTTTAAAGGGACTTTAATGATTTCTTTCAAGTTCACCTTGAAATGAAAAAATGGAAAATTCAAAACGGTTCCGTTGTAAATGAACTGAAGTAATAAGAGTATCTTTAAGTTATGTTACGCCGAGAGCATTTGTTTTGTTATTTATATTTTAAATACTTTGCTTTTGTAATTTCTCTGTTGTATCCTTTAAACTTTATAATAGTTGGTGGAGTAAAGTTTGAGATGTGATAAACTTGGAATGCTTTAGAACTTAAGTTTGAGACAGGTTTATTTATGGTTTTAGGACTGAGTCTTGTTTTTTAAGAACGATAATTTTGTTGAGTGATTTTTTACAAAAACAATAGTTTTGTCTTTATTTCACAAAAACGAACGTTTTTTCGTTTTTTATTCTATTTTAATAAAAACGATTATTTTGTCATTCTGTTTAGTCATTTCTATTTATAATTTTGTGTTTGCCTTTAACGAAAAGCAAAAAACATAAATTTTCATAAATTCATATTTTGTCACCTCATTTTCATAAGTTCATATTTTTCCATAGATTCATATTTTGTCACCTCATTTTCATAAATTCATATTTTGTCACCTCATTTTCATAAAATCATATTTTGTCACCTCATTTTCATAAATTCATATTTTGTCACCTCATTTTCATAATTTCATATTTTGTCAACTCATATTCATAAATTCATATTTTGTCACCTCATTCTCATAAATTCATATTTGGTCAACTCATTCTCATAAATTCATATTTGGTCACCTCATTTTCATAAATTCATATTTTGTCACCTCATTTTCATAAATTCATATTTTGTCAACTCATATTCATAAATTCATATTTTGTCAACTCATTTTCAATGTTTTTTGTTATTTTATAAAAACTGTGATAAAATTTAAAAAGTGTGAGTCGACCCCCATCTCTCATACTAATAAATGTATGCGTATATAAGGGAGCTGAGTAGTTATATATTCTATTGTTATTTCAACTTGAAAGGAAAATTAAATTGGCTTCATCTAAGATATTTTCAAAACTTGCTTTTTATGGTCACGTCTCAATTTGTTAGTAAGTAAACTGGGTGTCACGGACAAAAAGTAAAAAAAAATAATTAAAAGTTAAAAATTTACATTCTGAAAGAGGTCTTGCACTGAACAATTTTTAATCCGAAGCCTTGCTTTTATAGCCATAAAAGATGGGACCAAATGAATTGAGGCTTTGCCACAAACTATGCACGGGTAGCCGTAGTACATTTGAATTTCCGAGCCGGGTCAACCTTTCTGGTCCCAGTTTGTACTGTATCGCCCGGACATTGGGTAAATAAAGCAGACACTCAAGAGGACTAGCCGGTGCAACAAGGTTGACGCGGTCAGACTTTAGGTTAAATTTACTTTTACTAAAGGGTCAGAGGTGCGTGTATGATTTTCTAATCCCTATATTATTGCAACCCAATGTCGTAGACCTTAGATATTTCAAAATATGAATTCTGTTGGATCAGATAATCTAAGTTTCAAATATAAAGATCAAAAAATTTGAGTTTGTGGAAAGGGCTCTATTATTTTGTAACTTTAAAATGCATAAAAAGACTTCCAGTGAAAAAAAATTGAACTTTTCGAATTCTAGGTAGAATGGAATTACAATAAGATACCAGCGAGTAGAATCCATCATTTACACCATGGTATAACAGAACAGTGTGACACATATATACAGGAGAATAGGGAGCAACGAAGGCCTGGGCTTGGGACACACCTTTACTTTCAACATTATAGAAAATAAAATTTTATTCAGAGTCACCAGTTCGGCTGTGCAATCTCTGCATCTTTTTAACGCCTTCATATGTTATAATTGTATTGAAAAGTGAATATCAATTCTTTAAAACCTTGAGAAAAAAAAACGTTTAAACCAAATAAACTTTGATTTTAAGCAGACAGCAATAAACCAAGGGGTGAAATATCAAAATATTTAAAAATATTGAGAAAAGAATAAAGGAGAAGAGTTCAAACAAATATCAGATTGGGGAGGAGGGGGGCGGGGTGAAAATAAAGATAGTCAATAGAGCAATAAAGAGAAGAATAAATGCTGGAGTAAAGTAAACACCAGGATATAGGGAGGATGTTCAAACATATTTCAGATGGTACAGGGAGGTGGGTGGGGTGAGAGGGGTGTCCTTGGAAACTAAAACCTATATACTTCCAGTTCAACTGAATTACATTGCACAATTTTATTTTAGATTTTCTTATTTATTTTGTAAAATAAGAAGTTTGGAAAACCTTTGATCAAATAAACTTAATATAGCTCAAACGAAACAACGTTTCTGCAATAAATGAAATTCTCTATTCACAAGGAACCATATAAACGAGAATAATTGTGTTCTAGAATAAGAAAAAAATTCAAATTTTTAAAATCACATCATGCATGCGGCATTTTTTACAGTGAAAACTATAAAATTCTGGAATAGGAAGACGACTTTTAGACCCAAGTTTTGACTCAAAATGGTCAAATGAACGATACATTAATTGTGATTTATTTAATAAGTTACTAGTAAACTATTTTCTTTATAACTGAGTATGTTCCATAGTAATCTCTCTCTGTTTTTCAAATAAAAACATGTTGAATTGATTGATGGATAGTTGTATAAAAGTGAATCTAATTGTTTGCCTGAGGTGGGGCTATCCCTGGATGGGGATTTATTTCCCCAATAGCAGCAGGATTTCCCTCTCCATACTCCTCAGATCCTTTCCCCCATCTAGGGAAATATAATAGATGTATATAATCATGTTCTAAACAAGAGAAATGAGAACTTTTAAACAAGAAATTTAGATAATCTTATCTATAAATACTCAAGCAAGTTAATTTTATGTTAAACTTAGAATTCTAGTTACAAATATACAAGGTGTTCTATAATAAGGATTTTGAAGCCTTTTCATTTACGAAAGCTCTCGAATTGATGTCCTCTTATCGATCAATTTTAACTTTCAATATCACACAATAATATTGTACACTGCAGGCCTATAGTATAGGACATTGAAATGCAAAAAAAGTCTCCAAAAATCCCAATCATTTTTTAGACATTCTGAAGCCGAATTCAAAGAATTTGAGCCGCCTCTTAAATTTGAGACGCAGCTCAAACATCTAGTTAAATCCACTTTAAATTGTATAAAGCACTCAATTAGAACCGGTTTTAGGCGGTTTAACGACGCGGTTTTAAATTCTTTAAATTCGGCCTCTGTAAACATTGAATTAAATAGTTGAATAAATTGTACCTAGATGGCACTGAAAACGTAGCATGTATCCAGCAGTACAGATCCATTGTACCACTAGGCACACCATCTACTATACAGTTGATAGGGTCTCCTATGTACTGGCGAGCTGACACCTAAACAAATGTACTTTAAATGGACTGGAAGCAGGGGCTTATTCAGGAATTTCTCCAAGGGGGGGCTTACATTGTTTTCTTCCCACGGGGGGGCTCAGCACCCGTTGGGGTCTAAAAAACCCTGATTTCACTCCTCCAGGGGGGGGAGCTTAGCTCCCATAACCTCCCATCCCCTAAATACGCCTTTAACTGGAAGTGTAGACGTAAATTCATAAATCTTTTTAAAGTACAAAAAACACCATTTTCAAAATTTTTGATCAGATAATAATAATTCAATTCAGTTTCAATTTAGATAAATATTAAACTGCATAGTGTGCACTGTGAGTTGCACACCATACATTTAGAAATTAGACCAATCTCATCTTTTTGCTTTTTTAAAACTAAATATTTCTAAAATTACGTTTTGAAAGTCTTGATATTAAAAACTTAGAAGACGAATTGAATAGATAAAAAAATAAAAAGAATACTTTTGGTCCAGATTCTTGCTACATATTTATTTGCAACTATAGGCTTTTAAAGCACTTCCCGCCCATCTTCTTTTTCAACTTTTAATTGTGGCTTTATCTGTGAGCATCCTCCTTTTGTACAGTAAAAAAAATGTTGTTAAAAATTTGAGGATTTCATAATATTTTTTCGCGCATTTTCAAAATTTTACAAAATAAAATAATTTAAGATAAAAATATTTTAAGATTACATATTTAAAGTCTGATTGGCCATACACCTTCCCAGGGGCCACGTGAGGTCCTACACTAAATTTGGGCCTGATCGGTTCAGCCGTTTTGACGTTTATTGGATACAAACAAACAGACAAACACCCAAACAGACACCCAGACAAGTAAAATTTATATATAAATGTATACTAAATTTTCCAAAATAATAACTCACCAACGCCATGCATCCTAGGAGGAAGGAAAAGCAGACCCTGTAGTGTATTTTAAATGTCAGATTATCTGTATTTGCAGAGTCACTCTTGAAGAGATAACTCTTCACGAAGTCCACAACATCCATCCTCTCTGAAAATTAAAAAAGAAAATGTTTAGAAAACATTCATTCAATATTTCGGTGAGTTGTTCCATTGCTCCCTATAAACAAGAAACTTGATATCTATTTCATTTAAATGTGACTTGTGGATTTCTACACTACAAAGAAAGTAAATCTAAATTTTCTAATTTTCCTGAATTTTCAAATAGTTTTTTTTATTTTACAGTTATCTGAATCTCGCATTAAATGAATGAATCATCAGAGAAATTTAAATTTTTAACTTCCATATTATATACTATTCAAATTCTAAACACGATTTTTTTATTCAGTGCAAATTTATTGTTTCAACTGTTTAACAATGAGTCCTTGAAAACTTGTTTTTGATGATTTAATCTAAATAGATTTATACACAATATCTATATAATAATTCTCTTTTCTCATATATAAATATTTTTTATATTTGTATGTAGTACTTAGGATCCATTTAATTTTTATTTGGATCCGGATCCAGGTCATTTCTTTAAGATTTACTGATTTTTTTAACACAGAAGAATTTTCGCTTATTATTATTATGCTGAAACTTGATTCACCATTCAGAACTCTGGAAATTTTTTTAATCTCTCTTTTTTCAATAGTTCAGATTAAGGTTTTGAGAGTAAAAAAGTTTTTTTTTGTAGTTTTTGGTTGATATTTTGTCCTTGGATCGGGATCCGTGGATCCACATATTTTTGCGGATCCGGATCCGGATCCAGAAAGTCAAATCTTGCGAATCCAACTGAATGTGCCGACATTTTTGAGATAACCCATGGATGCCCGGGGAGTAACATAAACTAAGAAAAATTCGACATTTTTATTTAAAAATTTCTTTTTAAATCAGATTTTTTTAAATGAAAAAAATTTTCACGGGCAATGCCGGGCATTTCAACTAGTAATACACATTAACATATATATTAACAGAAATGCAAAAACATTTTTAATTGCTTAAAAACGTTGTGTAGGGAATGTTGACTAATTATAAGTGGATCTTAAGTTAATATAGGATATAATTGTACTTTTTACACCTTAAACACTTTATCTGAAAATTTGATAATTTATAGATTTCAAGAAATGTTGCTTTCAACACTTTTCTGGTTTTGATTTTGGGGTTTAGCTTTTATATTTTAACTTTGTTTAGAGTATGAAGTTTAACGACGTGATGAATGTTATTGATATACTTCAACAGTTTTACAGGAAGCCCAAAAGAAATTCTTAATCTAAAGGGATTACAAGTGTGCAACTATGAAATTGTTTTTTTTAATTCGACTTTAGATAAAGTTAGACAGTAATTGGCAGTGGAAAAAAAATTTTATTTTTATGCATAAAAATCATCAAACCCCCGTAAGCTTCAAGAAATGAGAAATAATAAATCTCGTTGTATAAAATGTATTATTAAAGGACTTGCGTCTTTGCCACAATCTCTGATTTCGAATTCTATATCTGTGAACTCAATGTTGTAGATTATGTTAAATCACATAACCTAACATAGTCTTTATGTAACATTTCAAAGGTTTAACAGAATATAGGGATTAAAAAATTACAGTTTGTGCCAAAAACTATTTTTTTTACACTGAATCATCCTGTTTTTGGGACTCTCCCTTGGGAAATACATATTTGATAAACAGGGAAAAACGGTTGATGATTGATTGATGGGGAGCAGATTAATGGGGAATCAATTGATGATGGGGAGTCAATTGGTTGGGAGTAAATTGACTAGGAGTCAATTGGTTGGGAGTAAATTGACTTGGAGTCAATTCCTTGGAAGTCAATTGATGGGGAGTAAATTGATTGGGAGTCAATTGATGGGGAGTCAATTGATGAGGTGTAAATTGATTGGGCCGGGAGTCAATTGATAAGGTGTTAATGGACTGGGAGTCAATTCATGGGGGGGTGGGGTCAATTCAATTTGGTTTGATCGATTGAAATGGAGTCAAATGATGGGAAACCAATTAATGGATATGACATTGGTGAGGAGTAATTTAATGGAATGTCGGAATTACATCAATTGACTCCCAATCAGTCAATTGATGGGGAATCGATTTAAAGGGGTACAATTGATTGGGAGTCAATTGATGTTGAGTGGTTAGAAGGGAAGAAGATAATGTGCTGAATTTAAACAGCAGAATTTTATCTTTTTTTATTTTATTCATTTATGGCGAGTCGATAGATGTGGGATTGAAAGATGTGGGATTGAAAGAGGTGTGATTGAAAGAGGTGGGATTGAAAGATATGGGATTGATAAATGGATGATTGATAGATGTGGAATTGAAAGATGGGGGATTGAAAGATGTGGGATTGCTAAATGGAGGATTTTTAGATGTGGTATTAAAAGATGTGTGATTGAAAGATGTGGGATTAATAAATGGAGGATTGAATGATGTGGGATTGAAAGATATGGGATTGATTTGATTTGAATTGAGTTTAACTTTACTGTTAAATCCGGAGTTCTGGAAATCGAAACTTGAGTTTCTTTCGAGTTTAACTCTACTTTTGTTTGCTAAGTAAACATTTGTTTGTTTATATGTGAGGGGGTATAGAGGGTATGTTAACTTGGAAAAATTGGGTATCTAAACGAAATAAGATTATCTGTGTAATTGAGGAGAAGGGGGGGAGTGAGAAAAAAGAAGGAAGAATAGAAGAAAAGAAGGAAAAATGGAGGAAAAGAAGGAAAAATGAAGGAAAAGAAGGAAAAATGGATGAAAAGAAGGAAAAATGGAGGAAAAGAAGGACAAATGGAGAAAAAGAAGGACAAATGGAAGAAAAGAAGAAAAAATGGAGGAAAAGAAGGGAACAGAAGGAAAAATGGAGAAAAAGAAGGAAAAATGGAGAAAAAAGAAGGAAGAATAGAAGAAAAGAAGGAAAAATGGAGGAAAAGAAGGAAAAATGAAGGAAAAGAAGGAAAAATGGAGGAAAAGAAGGAAAAATGGAGGAAAAGAAGGAATAATAGAGGAAAAGAAGGAAAAATGATAGAAAAGAAGGAAAAATGGAAGAAAAGAAGGAAAAATGGAGGATAAGAAGGAAAAATGGAGAAAAAGAAGGACAAATGGAAGAAAAGAAGAAAAATTGGAGGAAATGGATGGGAATGGATGAAGCATATAGGGTTGGATGAAGCTATAGGGTGGGGGGATATGAAGCCTATGGGGATGAATGAAGCGTATGGGGTTGGATGAAGCATATGGGGGGAATGACGCCTATGGGGATGGAGCTATAAGGTTGATGGGTTCTTTTAGAAGGATACAGGAAGAGGGGGGGGATGCAGAAAAGAGGAGGGGGGAGGGTAAAGTTTAAATTAAACTTAAACCTTCCTAGATCTGGAGTAAAACTATGCAATATATTTACTAAAATATATATCTCTGTATCTCCCCCTAGGGGAATGTTTTATATTTAGTTTTACGTCGTAAATTGTAACACTGCTATACATGCACATGTGGACCTAATAGAATTCTAAGTTTAGAAATACAGGGTATCTAAACTATACAGGGTATCTAAACTTTTTCATTGGAAGATTGAAACAATTTCAGATTTTACCGTCAGAATCAAATTTGAGAATATTTTGAAAATAATAAGAAAATTATAAATATTTTTATATTTGAAAACAGTTAAAATGAATGTAATGTACATTGTGTATTTAACCTTCCCCGGCCCGCCCTTGAGGCTTAAAGCTTTAAAACTTAAAACAGACCCCATCCCCCAAACCCCCAACATTCCTACCCCTTTACGTTACTAGGCAATATTCAACTCTATTAAATCTAAAATATTCAAAATAAAAAAAAGACTCCCAGGAAACTTAGTTTACAAAACTGTGTAGCAGTTTGTGTGGGAGAAATGTAAACACTGCAGTACACAGAAGGTACATTTCTAAGTCAAAAATAACAAAAAAAAAGATAAGAAAAACTATTTGTAAGTTAATGTTAGTTGAATAAAAAAACAACATGAAGGAAATAAAATGTTTTGTACAGAACTGTATACAACTGTACAGAACTGTACTGTACTGTACTGTACTGTACTGTACTATACTGTACTGTATGTACTGTACTGTACTGTACTGTACTGTACTGTACTGTACTGTACTGTACTGTACTGTACTGTACTGTACTGTACTGTACTGTACTGTACTGTACTGTAACAAAATTAACAAAAATGTTGTCCTTTTGTAATAATTTTTCATTGCGGAAAAATTGAACGAGTTAAACTGTATTGTAAAGAACAAACATATTTAGAATTTCTTTTTAAAAATATTTCTTGGTCATTCCCAATCAACAAGAACAAAACAAAAAACTAAATCTAAGCATTAAAAAATCAATATGTGATTGGTATACATGTCTCCAGTAAAACAAGAACTGAATATAATGTTTTTACTGTTGTACGCATTTTTTGGTCAAGAACTAGAAAATCATTTTCTGATTTGATATTAATTTTTCTTGTGAAAACAGTTTGAACAAAATAGAATGTTTTGTAAAGAGCCGTATACAAACATATTAAGTTTCTTTTCAAAAATTTAACATAAGAACAAAAAATTAGAATCTAAAATTAAAAAGCAATTTGTACTCCGGTATACCCATTATGAAAACAGTGTAAATGAAATTAAAATTTGTTACATTGTGTATAGAATGTAATCTGTTTCCTGCCGCCATTTAAATAATTTTAATTATGAATATAATTATTTTAATAGAAAACGGGAAAATGTTAGATTTTGTCCAAACAAAAACTATTTTGAATGAGCTACCAATGTCACATAAGCCTAACATGCTTGCACCTGTCTTAAATGCAAGTTTAAAACTTTATAAGTACGGCAATATTTGAAAATCTAGATTTTATACAGAATGGGGTTTTGAAAGTAGGGTTTTTTTACTATATAACAATTGGACATCTATATCTTAGTGGCGTCTTATAATGTCAGGAATCAGGAAAAAGATCTGAAAGCTCCCCCATTTTGGAGAACCCAAACCGCCATCGGGTGTAAGAGTCTTCTTAGAACAGTAATGATCATACT